GCTCAGCTGATTTTGGCTATTTATCATAAAATTATCTTTGAACGGTCAGTCAAGACTTTGTAACCTCTTAACCAGAAAACTATACGTCCATAGCAAGGTAAGGAAACTCAAATAGTTCAGTAATTGTATTCTCAGCAAGACAATGTGTGTTGTTTTAGGTAAAGTCAGATATAATGTGAAATCTTATGATAAGAAACAAATGTATACTTTGTTGATTATTCCCTTTCAAAAACAGGTAGAGGCAAAAAAAGCTGTTCCGAGGGACGATCAACATGTTAATCGAACCAACGGAAGCATACAGGGTTCTCCAGGTCCTGCCCGCACCAGAAAGATTTTTGTCGGAGGTTTGGCATCCTCAGTCACTGAGAGTGACTTCAAGAAGTATTTTGACCAATTTGGGACAATCACAGATGTCGTGGTGATGTATGACCATAACACACAAAGGCCTAGAGGTTTTGGATTCATCACATATGACTCAGAGGAAGCAGTTGACAATGTACTATACAAAACATTTCATGAACTTAATGGTAAAAGGGTCGAAGTCAAGCGTGCTGTTCCAAAAGAGCTATCGCCTGGGCCAACCCAAAGCCAATTAGTAGGTAGATATAGCCATGGCATGAACAGGGTAAACAATTTCCTTAATGTGTATACTCAAGGTTACAGTCCAAGCCTGATGGGAAACTATGGAGTCGGAACGGAAGGTAGATATTCTCCAATCTCCATTGGTCGCAATGGATACTCTTTGTTTGGTCCAGCTGACTACAATATGGGAACAGAAATAGACTCCAGATTGAACTCAAGCTATGGTGGAAGTGGAAAGTTCAGTTCCGTTCTTGGTTATGGACGTAACTTAAATTCCTTTCACAACGAGAATTCAAACAAATACAATGTTCCTGTCGGGCATGGCTCTGGAAGAGTTGGAAATGGTCCTGTGTTGAATTCAACAGGTCAGAACAAGTGGGAGAATGATAGTCTTTTTCATGGTACAAATTTTGCAAACACTAGCATGTTTGTTGGTTCAGGAAGCAGGAATACAGAACTATCTGGTGTTTTTGGAGGTCTTGGAACAACATGGGGTACCTCTCCAATTTCTGGCCAAGGTGGACGTAACGGTTCTTTCAGCGATGACAACATCACTTTCAGCGGTGGACAGAATGGATTTGCAGGTGGGGCAGGGTATGGGCAAAATGCAAGAAGCAATGCCGATGCTGAGTCATCATATGCTCCAACACAAGGTGTTCATGCACACACTTTTGGGGATTTTTATGGAATGGTAAGCAGTTCGATTTTTGAGGACTCTACTTGGCGTGCATCCTCTCCTGAGCTAGACAGTGCTGGAGCTCTTAGTTATGGACTCGGGAGTGCAGACTCCCTCAACTATGTGGGTGGTTATAGTGTTGCAAATAGATCAACTAGAGGTAAATGTAATTTCCCTATATCTCTTTTTGGGTCTTTCTATTTAGTAATACTTTTTGATATATTTTAAATGCACAAGAACTGATTAAATGGTAGGCCAGGACTGTTCTACAATATGGAAGGGTAAACAAAATGAGGAGGACGTGCGGGGGTAGAATTTAGCCGGAAACCAAATGATATTATTGCTGATTTTGCATAGAATATTTCTCTCGTTGATAAGCAATAACATGCTTCTTGTTGTCCTCTATGTTTGCTCGGATCCACCAAAATGGCACCACACCATATCAGATCCTCCAAATATGAATAACTTTTGGAGGATCCGACGCACACCCGTCAACATTTTTGAAGGATCCAAGCAACGTGAGTTGTACTAGATACTAGAAACAAAACTTTAGCCAAAAGCACAGACCATGATGTTCCATGTCCTGCATTCACTATGAACTTGCTTCGTTGGCGTCCTTCTTACGTTTACTTACATTCTCTTGTCTTTTCTTCAGGTATTGCTGCCTAGGAAGATTAATGTATGGAATTTGGATATCGAATATTTAATGTAGGTGGAAAATACAGCATGATCAAAGTCAGAGATTGTGGATTAAGCATTCCTTTTGGGGAAATACTTCAGGCAAAAGGTACATTCACTTAGAGCTAATTCAATACCAACTATAGAGCTTTATCGTCAACAATTGTTTACAACGTAAAGGTACTTCCTTGTAACGTTTGAACATAGTGTTTCTTTACTATAGGCCTTCATTTTCTTTCTTCTTTTCTACATTTGGCATTTGATTGAGATGTAAAGTTGGATAACGGAATATACTTGCGATAATTGTACCAATGCATATTGGGTGATACTATGAAACTTAAAGCAAATGTTCATTTTATTGTTGAGATTCTTTTCTTCGTTTCTACGTTCTCTACTAGAGTGTCCAACAACCGTTCTGGTGGTTGTTGAGTTGTTATCTTTCCCTTTCTGGATATATGTTGCTTGCAAATTTGATGAACTTTTAAGTTTCATGTTTAACTTTTATACAAATAATGTTTCAAATTCTTTCACACTGTTGTGTTAATAATATTATGTTATCATGATGGTAAGTGAAGATTCATATAGCCGATTCCAATTTTGTTTTTGTTTTCAAAAATTTAGATTGATTATAAATTTTTGGCCCTTTTAGCCCCCCTATCAACACTTCAAAATTGTAAAATATAGTTGGGATGGTCCATCAAGAAAAGGTGAGGAGTCCAAATCAAATTTGGTTAAAATTAAGGGGGAATTTATGAGTGCTTCATGCTTGTCATATACTTTTCCTTTGGCTTATTATCTATCAAATTCAAAAGAAATAAAAAACTAAATATAAAAGAAGTTTTGACATATTGTGCTTATCTTGAAAAGCTCACTAAGCATTAAGCTTATTGTATGTAGTCTTTTCTTGCATTCTACAAGAAAAACTATTTTCATCGCATGAACATGTAATCACATGGGGATAAAATTTTATTGTTACGTCAAGGCTGAATAGACAAATTTGCCATATAGCTCTACGATATGCGATATATCTCCTATTATTGATTTTGCCTTGGGAATAAGTGTGTTTGATGCGGAGGAAATAAAATTTCCTTAAAAATAAGGAAATGACTTTTTGAGTGGTAGTATGAAAAATAAGTTCTCTAAGTGGTAATATTCTGCATGGATTTTATCCATTCCACACCCCCAACCAGTGGTGGAGGCAGATCCGACCCCCCTCGGCGAAAAATATTACTATTTATACATGGTTAAAATTATTTTTTAGGTATGTCTAATAGATGTCGAACCCCCTTTCACTAGTTCGTGTGTTTACTTTTCAGATTTTGAACGCCCTTATTAAATTTTCTGGCTCCGCCACTGCCCCCAACATACCTCATTTTCACCTCTACACTTCAGCCCCCACCCCCACCCCCAGAATTCATTGATTAAAGAAATTACATGTATATATTTAAATGGATCATACCAACTGTCCATAGTTTTAAAAAAAAACTGAAATAGAAAGTGAATTGGCCCATCCAAACAGCAAGACAAATGATACAACTTGTTGTGACAACTAATGCCCTCTTTATCTGTCAAATGTACTTATAGAAACAACACAACATGTTAAACGAGGTACGTTTATTGTCACAATTTATGTGCAAGTATTTGATTTAGAAACAGAAATAGATTTAAGAATAAAAGGAAGACTTTAATAAGCCATAAATATGTGTGGAGGAAATTAATTTTTTTAGTTAAAGCATAAAGAGATTTTACTCATTGATGTCAATTATGGGGGGGGGGAGCCTGTGGAACCCAAACCAATTCGCGAGTTTCTTTTCAAATACATGCAGGATCATCATTTAGCGAAGGTAAAATACCTTAGATGATTTCTACCATCTATCTAAATATTGGTCGACAAGATTACTTGTATTGGTGAGAGATATCTCGAGAAATACTCGAAGTCATCACAAGCTGGCTTGGACATCACTTATCATTTTTTTCAAAAATAAAAAAGAGCCCACACTGTTTACACCATTTTGCATAGGTCATTGGCTACAAGTAGGACCAATCCACAGCAACTTCTATACCCTTTACAACAAGGAGTAATAATTCAAAAGGACCCCCCACCTCCACCCCATGCCTTTGAGCAAATGCAGTGCTCATTTTGGTCCATATAAAAGTGGAGAGAACAATTAAATATCAACTGTCACAACCCTCTATTTGTACTACTAAATGATTAATGACTCAAAGAAAACTTTATCAAACATATCATATGCCACATTTTGAGAGTGGTGAGATACTACTAGTATTCAAAAGGGTCCCATGGCATGATACATTAACAAAACCTATTTCACTATCACCTGAATTTAACTTTATGGGAGCCAAATAGAATTAAGTATTGGATTATAAAAAAAAAATGTAGAAGAGGGGACAGACGCCCGATGAAATGGTCTTGTGGTCAATGAAGTGAGAGAAGAAACATGAGTTCTCAGTTTATATTCCATAGGCAAAAAATATTAGGTACCGATACCTATGCTGGTGAGAAATAATATGTATCCTCCGTTTAAAGTGGGAGAAGAACCATGAATTTCCAGGTTCAAATCTGGTCAAATCTTAGCAAAGGTTATAAAGTACAAGAAGAAAGATGAGTTCTCAAGTTCAAATCCGAACACCAAGTGACAGGTATCAGGTTTGAATAGTCGAAATTCGCACCAACTAGTTGGTATACCAGTGTAAAACAAAAAGGGTTGGAGGACCACATGGTGTGGCTAACCAACTCATTTAAGCATACCTTTGAACACATCTCAATTGACTAAAGCTTAAGCAAACTCTGCCAGCTAAAAAGTCATAATGCACTAGGGATATAGACAAGTATAAGCATAATAAGATAATTACAAGTATATATTAGGAAAAATGATGCTAATAAGGAGAGGTGGGGCTGCTATACCCTCTGTATTCACACCAAAGGGAAAATATAAACATCTGATACTCTTCTAGTTGTATAGATGGAGACACAAATTTAATAGCTGTAAAAATGCCAACAACCCAACCTTGAAGAAAAAAATTGAGCTTTGACATATTTCAGTCATAGAAAATCAAGAAAATATCTCATTACTGGACATATTGTTCAAGAACCAAAAAAGACTAAAGCATACTGAAATAGTAGCTTTTTTACACACTAAAGAATAAGAAAATTAGTAACCCTTTCAGAAGAATTTGGACCACCCAAACAAAACTAAGGGATCATTATCAAATTCTTACCAAACAACCTGACAGATAATAATTCAAAAGGGACATGAGAACCCTTCCCACCACCCTTGCCAGCTCCTATGTAATAACTTGGTTAAAAATTTACCTAAATAGGTCAGTTTCCTTAAACTAACTTGATATTTATTTTCTTGATTACCTTGACATATGTCATGAACTTCTAAATTTATAAACCACTCTGTACAAACTCTTCAAATCGCTTCCTATAAACAGAAAATACTCAAATGTAGAAGACCGTCTAAGCTACCTCGCTAAGGAGTTGAAGTAGAAGCTTCTTGTCTTGATTCCCTCAAGTATGTCAGTAATGTTTCTGCCTGCCGAAAACAACCAAGCTTCATTAAGATTAAATCATTCCATAAAAGACGACTATAAAAATGCATACATGCATCACAATCACTGAAAGCAATCATGTTACGAGCATTCAGTGTCTATATCATAACAAGCACCAATTTTCAAAATATGACACTAACAATTCAAGAAAACACAGTATTCATTAATGGCACATGGCAACTATAAAGGTCCATACCCAAAATTCCTTTTTTTCCCCTCATCTTTTCCATGTTCATCTACCAAATCTATACCCAAAAATGGGAACACTCCATGTGACTATTTTTAGAACTTAGAAGTGAAAATCTTGACATATTTCACTACTAATTTCAAAACATAAATTTGAAGTTCGACCTTAATATTTGTTATAAGTTGGTACCATTATTCAAATAAACTGCTATTTTTCTCATCCCAAAGGTATACATGAATCAATCAATCAACTAAATATCAATCTCAATTAGTAGGATTTGGTTGTAATATCCATTTTGAATCTCCATTAAACTCCATTCATGTCTAACAATTACACCTAAGTAATACCTACTTATAATTCAAAGGGTAAATGGCGATTAAATGACATATAAAGGATAAAAATTCAATCTTTATGGTAAAAAATAAGCATAAGTAATTGATCAAGATTTCCTTCCAATGGAATCAAACAGGAAACTCACCTTGTGCTTAGCTTTAGCAGTTCCGGTCTGCGACAAGGCGACGAGAGGAGGGATTCCTCCTTCCCTAACAAGAAGTCCTCTATTCCTTACACCATCAACACATAGCTGCAAAAGAGTCATCACTGCAAATTCCTTCCCTTTATCCGATCCATCTTCAATCACTTCCACAAGTGCAGCAATTCCTCCTTCCTCAACTATACTTTCTTGCCCCATCTCGATACCTGTTAAGCTACTTAACACCACCATAGCCTTCTCAGCTAACCCTGTTCCCTCCTCACACACTAACTCCACCAATGGTTTCACAGCACCAGCACTCACCGCCCGTTCTTTATTCAATCTCACCGTGCATAGCTTATACAACGTCGTTAGAGCATCCTTCTTTCCCCGATTCGTCCCGTTTATTAACAGCGCCACTAATGGGGCAATAGCACCACAAGCACCAATGGATAACTTATTCTCATCTATCAAAGCTAAGCTTAGCAACCCACAAGCTGCATTCTGTTTCGAAGTTTCAGTGCCCGTTTTCAACACGTAAATCAAAGATTTTATCGCCCCGGAGTTTGTAATTAAGGTTTTATTCGGTTCGTGAAGCGACAGATTGAGAAGAGCTGTTACAGCGTGTTCCTGAGTCCGTGGATCGGAGCACCGGAGAAGTGGTAACAATGCCGGAATAGCACCAGACTCTCCGATTAAAGCTCGATTATCAGCTCGATTTTTAGCTAAAAACCTCAATTTCTCCGCCGCCGATCTTTTCACGGCAACCGACGGTGACTGTAAACTGTCGACGCAGAGTTTCACCGTCGGCTGAAGATCCTCCGGCTCAATGCTTTCCATTATCTCTGTCGAAAACGTCTCCCGCTGCAGAAACCCTACACAAGGTTCCGGTTCCGGTTCAGGTTCACTAACGGAGCTCTGATTCGGATCCGAATTTGGGATGTAAGCTAAACGTTCCAACTCACCGGAAATATCACTGCTATACGCCGAGAAATCACTGAAAGTATGGGAAATTTCCAGAAATTCCACATCGGAAAAAGAAGATTTATCAACCGGCGGCTTCTTCGCTAGCTCAGTAAGGCGAAAATCAACGACGGAATCTGTAAGGTTCTCATAAACCGGACCGGAGTTTTCGTAGTCGGTTTGGTACAAATTGGACCGGATAGTGCGCATGGACCGGCCGATTGAACGTCGGTGAACTTTGGCGGAGGACGGCGGTGGAGTATAGTAATAAGGCCGTGTTTGGGAGTAATGGGTAGTAGAAGAAACATGAGAATGAGAATTTTCTAGCGAAACCATATTTGGAAACTTTGCAAAAACAGAGTTTCAATTAGTCAAATGTGAGTTCAAAAATCTCAGATTTGGAGAAAAGGGTGGCTCTTTTAATGGGTTTTAAGAAATTTTCATGGCGGAAAATGTGAATAAAAAGGGAAGAAATGAAATTCAGAAACAGAGCAAGAACGATGGAGTTTTCAAATGTATTTGAAGAATTGTTAGATTTGGTGAAAAGGGTGTTTTTTGATGTTGGTTTAAGAAATTTTCATGGCGGAATTTGAGAAGAAAGTGGAACTGAGAGAGAACTCGAATGAGTGATGAAAATGGTGGATTTATAGAGAGTGGAAGAAGAAGAAAGGATGAAGATGAGTGGATTCGTCTATTTGGTGGCATTTTGATTTTATTAATTATTATTAATTAATAAAATCCCTTATAAGAAATTAATGGCTAGTATTTGTTTCTATACTGAAATCCGATTAAATTCGAATTCATATGTCGTTGCAAGACTTTTTAAATCTGAATTCATGTATATTGTAATGGAAATGAAGTATTAACTTTGAGTTTGAATTTTTTTTATTAAGGATAAATAGATGAATTCTAAATCATTCTATTATAATTAATGTTGGTTATTATTATGTATAGTTTAAGAACATTGCATTCACTTGCATACTTCCTAAATCTGAATTCACACGTTGTAGATTTGTCGCCTTCCAGAGTTTCCTAAATTTGAATTCACACATTAAAATGTTTAGTTAAGAATGGATGTATCTCTGGATCAACCTCGAATTCAAAAAATTTAATTAAGAATGGATGGATTTCAAATCCTTCCATTACGATCCAGATTATTAATGGTTAACATTAGTTATTATAATGTATGTCTAAGAACGTTGCATACTTCCTAAATCTGAATTCACACGTAAACTTTCTGCCTTCCAAAGTTTTCTAAATCTGAATTCACACATTAAAATATTTAATTAAGAATAGATGAATCTCTTGGATAAGCCTCGGAGTCGAAATATTTAGTTAAGAATGAATGGATTTCAAATCATTCCATTATTACTGCTTGTAGTGTTAGAATGTAAAGTAAGTTTTTTACTTTTTAAGTCTTATGATCTTAAATTAAAAATAAGTGAAATATAATGACATCACTCCAATATAGATGATAGATATAATATTTTAATTCAATTCATTATCAAAAGTTGGCTCATAAATAAAAATTGTCCAACAAAAGGCTCATTCCTACCAATGTGAGAGATTTAACTGTTTTAGATAGATGAAAAATTAAAATTTAAAAATTAATAAAAAATTCTTTATAAAATAATTAAAAAGTAAAATAAAATAAATTAATTAAAAGGAGAAAGTAATCTTCTAAGATTAATTTATAAAAGGTATAGTGACCAATATTTATTTAACTTCTCAAATTAGTAAGTGTCACTATCTGTGCTATCATAAAGTATTTGAACCCACATAGGAAAAAAGTGGGTAAGGTGAAATACTGCCGTCAATCATAAAAAAAAATTAAAATTAATAAAAGTTTCTGCCGTTTTTTGTGTCACATTCATTCTTTCTAATTCCATCAATTTTTTCCAGATAAAAACAACACTTACTTTATTTGTTTTTCATTCGATATTAAGTACTCGTATTGAAATTAATTTAAATTTAAAATTTGTATTGAAAAATTCAATATCTTATTAAGGTCAATTATAGAGTTATATAGATGAAGTTTCAATAGAGATGAGATTTCATCTTAGTTATTTGAGTGTTTTTTTATACACAAAAATAGTTAATTTGACCTTGATAATAGAAATTTGTCTGTTAGAAATTTTGAACGTTTAAAAATAGGATAATATCGTTGTTGGAATATTAATCTTGTTCCTCAAAGTTCAAGCCAAATATAAACCGTTTAGTTTAGTTTAAATGTTGATTTAATCCTTTTTTCTTAAAAAATTTTGTACCTTAAAAAGCTTATATCGTTAATCAATAATAAGAAATTGAATTGAGCTCATTTTGCCCCTAAAAAAATAACGTAGTTTAGAAACAGTGACCCTAATATTTCTGTCGATTGTACTAAATAAATGCTACACGGTTGAGTTAATTACAACTTAAAACAATACTTTTATATTGCTAACTAAAAGGATCATGTTTATTCTTGTTTAAGTACATGAAAAATATTAAAACGTTAGATTAGAGCACGACCAAACAATATTAATTATGTCATACTATTTTTAATCACATGATATTTGACAAGTCATACGCATTAATTTTGTCGTTGACGAATTTGAGGAAGATTAATTGAGGGGTGTGGTCGGTACGAAAGAAAATATTGATTTTTTTTTAAAAATAAATGTTTTTTCAAGCTTCATCATGATTTAGATTTTTGGGGTTTTAAAAAGGAAAAATTATATATAATAGCAAATTATTAATTCAAATTAAATGCTATAAATATACTTTGATTTAATTGTATCATATAGCAAACTATTGCTATTTTCGCCATTCTCCCTGGTGGAATCTCGTTCGCCACTCTCGTTTGATGGCAGTCTCTCTCGCTTTTATACAAATACAAATGTATAAAATGTGTTTGTGTTTGTATAAAGCGAGAGGAAATTGTATATACACATATATTTTCGTTCCCCTCTCTCCCCTCTCCCAAATCTCGCTCACCACCCTTGCCTCTCTCGCTTATACAAACAGAAACAAAATGTATAAATTGCGCTTCTGTTTGTATAAAGCGAGAGACAATTGTATATACATATGCAAATACATATATCTTCGTCCTATACACTTATAATTATACAATACAAATATTTCTCTGCCCAGTTTTCTTTTGCCTTTCTCTCTTTCTCGTTTTATACATACACAGATTATACAATTGATCTTTTGTATACAACTGCTTTCTTTTGTATATGTATAGCGAATTATACAACTGCCTTCTTTGTATATGTATAGCGAATTATACAATTGTTTTTTTTTGTAAATGTATAGCGAATTATACATATATATGTTTGCTATGGAGCGCAATTATGCAAACTTTGTTATAGCATACAAATATGAATTTTATATTTGTTATATGTGACAGTTGCTCTTTTTAAAAAAATACTAAATTATGATTATTATTATTTTGAAGTTTTTGATGTGTATAAGCACATGAATTTTTTAGAAAATTATTATCTAACTCTGTTTCACCTGAAATTTGAAGGGTCTATCTCAAACAAACTGGGCTTCACCATGACTATATAACTTTTATTTTATTTTTTGCGTTTCAAGGTCCTGAAATTCAAAAATAGGATTATTAGAGCTTTCGATGTGTATAAACACACATTTTTTTGAAAATTTGTCGTCAAGACTCTTTTTGCCCCGAAATCTTGAAGGTCCATTCCAGATTGACATAGCTTTTTTTTTAACGTTTTACGGTGTGTTTGGTATGAAGGAAAATGTTTTCCATGGAAAATGTTTTCTTGGAAAACAAGTTGATTTTTGACTTATTTTCTCATGTTTGGTTGGTGAGTAGAAAATATTTTCTGAAAAAGATTTTTAGTGTTTGATTTATGAATGAAAATGTTTTTGAAAAATTTCTTTTATTTTTACTAGAGTAAAAAATAATTGTTGAAATTGAAAATATTTTTTAAAAATAAACTTAATTTTTTTTGGGGGGTGGGGGCTGGTAGGGGGTGGGGGGTGGGGGGGTCAAGGGTAGGGGAGAAAAATTGACATTTTGAAGTTAAAAATATTTTTTAAAAACAAATTTAAATTTTTTTTTGGGGGTGGGGGGGTTGGTAGGGGGTGGGTGGGGGTGGGGGAGGGGGGGGGCTGGTAGGGTGTGGGTGGGGGTGGGGGGTCGAGGGTAGGGGTGAAAAATTGAAATTTTAAAGTTAAAAATATTTTTTAGAAACAAACTTAAATTTTTTTTTTGGGGGGTGGGGGGTTGGTAGGAGTTGGGTGGGTGGGGGTTCGAGGGTAGGGGTGAAAAAATGAAATTTTGAAGTCGAAAATATTTTTAAAAACAAACTTAATTTTTTTTTTTGGGCTGGGGGGGGGGGGGCTCGTAGGGGGTGGGTGGGGCGTGGGGGGTCGAGGGTAGGGGTGGAAAAAAATGAAATTTTGAAGTCGAAAATATTTTCTAAAAACAAACTTAAAATTTTTTTTGGGGGGTGGGGGGCTGGTAGGGCGTGGGGGGGTCGAGGGTAGGGATGAAAAAATAAAATTTTGAAGTCGAAAATATTTCTTAAAAACAAACTTAAATTTTTTTTTGGGGAGTGGGGGGGGGGTGGTAGGGGGTGAGTGGGGGCTGGGTAGGGGGGTCGAGGGTAAGGGTGAAAAAATAAAATAATATTTTTTAAAAACAAACTTAAATTTTTTTCTTTTTGAAGGGGGTGGGGGGCTGATAGGGGGGGGGGCGAGGGTAGGAGGTGGGGGTGTAAAAAAATAAAAATTTGTCGTCAAGACTCTTTTTGCCCCGAAATCTTGAAGGTCCATTCCAGATTGACATAGCTTTTTTTTTAACGTTTTAGGGTTCTAAAATTTGAATTCATGATTACAGTATTTTTTAGTGTATATATTTTTCGAAAAATTGTTGTTGGACTCCATTTTTTTTCTAAAATTCAGAGGGTCCATCCCAAACGGCATGAGTTTTGCCATGAGTGACGTCACTTTTTCTTTTGTTGAGTTTTGTCCTAAAATGTTATATCATATGATTATTTGAGTTTTCTGTTAGCATGTGATTTTTTTCTTGAAAAAATGTTGATGAATTCTGCTGGCCTTAAAATTCAAAGGATCTATCCAAAACGGCCTAAATTCGCCAGCACTATGTCCAAACACCTCCTTGTCTAGATTTTTTTTTTTGTGAGCAATTGAAAATTGAACATCGAAAGCAAAAAGGATTAAATCATCGAATCCAAATATTCGAGTGGAAGTTAGAGAAGAACGTTATCACAATTTCGATACACTTATTTTATCAATCAAGATCATTTACAACATGATCGATATATTACAATTCATATAATAAGATTATTCGATCAAATTAATTTAAAAAGTAATTATGAACTTTGACATTAATTCAAATTTCAAGAGTCAAATAATAGAAAATCTTCAAAAAACGCATGAATGAATCGTGTTATGTTCTCCATAAATAGTACTCCCTCAGTCCCTAATTACTTGTCCATTTTGACAAATCAAGAAAGGACAAAAAAATTTACCCATTATACCCTTAATTAATTACTTTGAAAATGGTAGTACTAGTT